TGATAGAACATTTTGTAAAGTAGATAAAACATTTTCAAGGAGATACTGAAAATTTTCTGACATTGATGAAAACATTTATATGTTATAGGATCTTTCGTTACTGTGACATACTTTCTTGTAGCCATAGAAGCAATATTTTCTGATGTTTTAACTTTGATAGAACGTTTTCTGATGGCTATTGTCAAGCCCAGATAATTTAAAACCAGAAGCTTTGGTTGATTTAGCTTTTGCTGTACTATGATGACCGTAAGGGGACAAGGAAAGGTCAAATTTCTGACCTTAAAAGACGTTTGCCTCACAAAGCCCCTCAAGTCATTGTTTATGTAATACATCACTTATATGTTAAAGGATTTTTCAGTAAACACGAACATGGCCAGAAGATTAGTTGGAGCACACCAGGCGCTATTGAATATCTGCAGGTCTGTTGTCCAGCTTTGCAGCTGGATATGTGAGCTCTTACATTTGAGTCTGCAGAGACAGAAAAGGCGCAGTGCCTGTCTGCGGTTGCAGCAGCCCCCACTCTTTCTTTTGTCTCAGGCTGGACAGGTTCGGGGAGAGGATTAACTTTCCATTTCGCTGATCCACTTTTCCACTGAGTGAATTTGTTACGCAGGTCTGGGAATGTGTGTTATGAAGCTGTGTGAGACAAAAATTAAGGCCAGTTAGGGATCATTTAGAACCTCGTTTCCAAAGGTCGATGTGTTTGGGGGCCTATTTCTCTGTCTTCCAACATTTCTTCAATAGAAATTATACTTCTGGATGTAATTTGAAATGGGGAAATGTTTATTTTTGCATTGCTAATACGGGCATACGATAGATTTACAGGATTTCTAGAATATAATCTTTTCCACACGGTTCAGAGCTCTGGTTCTTCTCTTTAGCTTACCGTTTACATTTTCATCTAGATTTAGGTCTTTGTACCTTGAAGGCGGTGGAAGGAGGTGGATTTTCTGCCTGATAGATATCATATGCATTGATTGCATCAGAAGATTTAGATCATTAATCTTTTGAAAGAAATAAAAATGACCCATTTTCAATTTTCTGACCAGATTTTTATTTGAAAATGTCCTGAAATTTCAAACATTTATAATCCCATGCAACCCATGTTTTATGCCAGTCCCACCAGGACTTTTTGCTGCAGAAAAGCTAACGACGGGCCTAAATTTACCAAAACAAGTAGTTTTAGAAAAACCATTTCAGTGGAATGAAGTAAAAAAAAAAAAAAAACAGTTCTCAGTAGGATATATATGCCCTCACATTTTCAGTCTGAAATTATCTAGATTTTTCAAAAAGAAACTGGTTATATCCAGATTTTACTCCTCAATAATTTTTTAAAAGATGCATTTTCTGAAAAACAAAAAGCTTTTACCTTGATTTTTCTTTAGATATTGGTCAGTTTCTACAATTCTCTGTACCCATTCATGAAATTTTGGGGACTTTAAGTCACAGACAGAACCTAGAAAAAAATTATTGCAACTTTTCCTAAAAAAAAACCCAAAAACAAACAACAAGGCCCATATCCATTCAAGATTTCGAGAGATTATTAAACATTTTTTGTGTGCCAGTGTAAATTTGTCCAAATACCAGAAAAAAGAAGTAAAATAGTCCTTTACCACACTACTAAATCCAAAGCCAACTTCTGAATTGTGTTGTTTTTTTATCTGTACATAACAATTAAAAAATCAAAGTGTTTTTCACTCTAATGTCAACAGTTGTTGGGGAAAATTGTAGAAAGTTAAACTTGGGAAAATATGAGACCTTGAAATGGAAACTTTATGGGAATCCTGTTTTATTTCCTTTTCATTTCAAATTCTCGTAATTTCAAATCACAGTAATTGTTTCCTCCTGCTCTTTTTACGTGCACCGAGGTCACGCTCTGCAGCCAGACATTGCTGAATCCTTTAACAATGTTTTGTTAGAGGACGCAGGTTTAAGTGCACTCCAGTTTATTGCTGCGGTATATCTCTGATTTGCACAAGTTCAGCAGAGCGTCATTCAAACCGCAGGGCAGCCATGCAAAATAGGTGAATCCTTCAGGAGTCTGTATTAAAAGCCTCCATCAAGGCAGCTGGAGAGGAGAGAGTTGAGGTATTCCTTTGATGTGGTTGGCTCAGATATTAAATAATTGAGTTTTTGGAGATTAAAGTTTCAGAAGCTAATTTGGTCCCCTCCACGGCTTGTCACTCTGGGGCTTGAAGAGTCTGCAGCCTGCAGACGGCTGGTGAATAAGTGTGACTCACTTCCTGCATGTGGCTCGGCTGGAGAAACCCTATATCTGAAACAGGAAGTTCATTCAGGGCACACTGCATCTCTGACTCAGAGCGAGGGGTGACGGCATTTTTTTTTTCCTTTTTGTTGTTGTACAAGTTTTCAGGAATTCAATCCTCTGCGAGTTCAAGCAACAAAGAGGCACACAGTGCAGCTTCGCTTCCCCTCCTGTTTCGCTCCATAAACATTAGCCACGGTTTGCTGACAGCTCCGCTGTTATATGGAAAGAAGCTCATCTGCTGATGCAAGAAGAATGTGTTGCTTGTGCAAGCCTGGATTTCAGAGCTATTAAATGGGAGGAGATTCAGGTTGAGCTGCTGCTTCGTGACAGCGGAGGGGGGAGGCTGAACAGCCCGGAGGTGAAAGCTGGGTTATTTTTGTCTGGAATGTGTCTCTCTGTTGACATTGAAACCTAATTTTCAGGCACCTTGAGGATGACACAAACCAAGTTGCAAGTAATTGATATGTATGAGGGCATATAAACGCAAGAAGACTGTCCTTCAGGACAAACAACAGGCTGTTTGAAGGCGATGTGAGGACACGGTGGTGAATTACATGTCCTGCCGTCTTCTCTGTCTCTTTGGGACCTATTCTGGTGCAGCAACTCTGAATGTCTTCAGCAATGACTCAAAGTCCTGACACAGTAATGGGGAAATAATGGATTCTATCTTTCAAAAGGCTTCAGATTTCCTCGATAAGGCCTGCAGACTTGTTTGTCTCAGTCTTCACCCTTGCTGTTGCCCCTATGAGGCTCAAACTGTTCCTGGAGCTTTGAAATTTTAAACTCAAATGACTGGTTCAGCTGTTCTCCATCAGCGGCTCTGAACTTGCACCCAGAGCGCTTTTGTTTAAGATTCCTCTCTGAAAAATTAGCCTTCGACGAGGCAAACGTGTGGCCCATGCTTCTGATTATGTATTCAAATCTCCTCCAGTGACATCATGTTGATTTAACAGCCAGAGTGACATGCTCACAGCATCCCACCCCAGGTGTGTTCATCATGCCCAATGCAAAGCTGTTGTCACCTTGCTCAGCAGTGTGTTTTGACTATCAAGAGTCAGGAGTTCGCTGAGGGCAGTGTTGATATGTTGCAGGGGAAAACAGGACGCCTGTTGTCATGCGGGCCAGAGGGCTGCTGGGATGGTGAGCCAAAGCCCCGCGGTGAAATCAGTTTCTGGAGGAGGACTGTGCTGAAGAACGGGCCCCTGTGGGCCGTTTACAGCGTGCTGAACCAGCATTTCTCTCATCTTGCCGGAGGAAAAACAAACACAAACTGAACAAAAACACACCCCTCCGCTGTTTCAATACTAGTTTCTGTCTGTTGCATCACATAAAAAACAAGTTAGTAATGTTAGACAGCAAAGTATGCTTCAGTATGATAGCTTTGAACTTCTATGATGTTCTTTATTTGGTTGTGGATTGCAACACTTCAGTTCATCCTACTGGAAAACAATCTCAAGAGCTAACATGATGCCTTGTAAAAATATTCTGACATTATTTTTTCCACACACATTTTGCGACCAATTTCAAAGTATTCTTTTGGTATTTATTATAATAGCTATTACATTGACCAGCACAAGTTTTGCATAAATGTTAAGTGAAAGGAAAATATGGAACAGCCTGCATAAGTCTAAACTTCATGAAAACCATATTTTGCTGCAGTTACTTCTGCAGGTCAGTATGTCAAGAGACTGCAATATTTTCCCATTTTCCACCCTTGATTGACACCATCTGCAAAAGTAACATGTGGAAATGCTTTGATCTACACTCTTAAAGGTTTTCTCTGGCACACATGGCGTTTTGCACGAAGGCCAACAATTTAAACTTTGGTTCTATCTGACCATAGCACCTTCTCTTGTGTCCTCCACACGGCTTGTTGCAAACTCTGAACAGAACTTCTCATGCTCTCTTCTTGCCACTCTTCCATAAAGGCTGGATCTGTGGAGAGCATGACTAATCGTACCATTAACAGATTTTCCCATCTGCAGTTCCTCTGAATCTGATTAATGCTCTCCTTATCCAGCCTGTCAGTTTAGGTGGGCTGCCAATATCTTGTTAAGTTCACTCTTTCCATTTTCACATGAAGGTTTCAACAGTGTTGTGTGATATGATGAAGGCCTGGGATATTTTTTTTGCAATGTGACCTTGGTTTAAACTTCTCCAATATGTTCTCCCTGACTGGTCTGCCGTGTTTATTTTTTGATGCTCTTCTTGAAACCATTAAGGATTTCACAGAGCTGCTGGATTTCTCCTGAGATTAAATTACACGCATTAATTAGCTATGTAAAGACTTCTGGAGTTTCTTCAGGTGTGTCCGGGTAAAGAGGGGAGAATGCAAATGCACGTGTCCTTAAAAAGTCTCAAATTCTTGTGTGTAAAAGAAGGGCTTGAAACATCTTAAATTAACTATAAGTTAGCCTTCAATATGCTAATTTATCTATAAATCTATGTTGATAAAATCCTAATCCCTTGTTTGTTATAAAGAACTATTTCCAGAAAATGTGTTCTACATCCTCTACATTTCATATTTTTGTCTCATAATATAATAAAACAACCAAAAATATTTGTCATTCATGTATTTATTTTGTCAGAGACCTTTTAATATCCACTGAGGGCCTCCATGCCATATATCCATTTATACTGCAAAGATGTGTGTGTGTGTGTGTGTGTGGAATACAGATGTTTTCCTTTTTAATACTGTAAAATAAAATAGGATGAAATGACACACAGACACTAAATCTTACTCATTTATTCATAATATCAGATCAGCCACAGCACAGAGCATTTTAATAACAGTCACCAAGGGAATGTCATCATCATCTCCAGATAAATACACAAGATAATCATTAAAACAACAATCACAACAACAAGTACGGGGCTGTTCTTCAGCGAGTAGCCAGAGCTCCTCGGCTGAACCCCCTTTTTGTACACCATGCTCCAATCTCGAAAAGGTTCAGCTCTGTCGTTTTTACCTCCTTCTCTCCACTGAGATAATGTCTTGGCTGCCTCGAGGAATGGTCTCTGGGCTGCACCCTACAGATGAAAAGGACACACTGACGACAGGTAGGGGGAAAAAGGAGAGCAAACACAACCTTGCGGGGCGCGTTTTTTTAGTGGTGGCAGTTACACAAAAGACCCACAGCTCTGTTGATCCCTCCCTCCCAGGATATGGTGGCCAGGCATGCTGGAGCTCTGCCTGCATCTGTGCTCCTGTGCAGACTAGCTCCACTTTAGCTGCAGGCTAGGAGGGAGGAACCGCGGGCAGGGTGTGTCTGTTTCACCATGGAAGCAGGTGGGCAGATTATTCTCAGAGGTAGGAGGGAAAGGAGATGGAGCAGGTGTTGTGGTGGCGCTGGCTCTCCCTCCCCGGCAACCATGGAGCTCTGCCAGTCACCTTTTATGTGGCAGACACAAAGGAAAGCCGTGTAAATGCAAAAAAAACAGAGTAGCAGTTACTTTTGTCATCATGAACATCCATTTCCCTGTGGGCTTTTCCTTTCAGTCGCGCCATATATTTTAACAAATCCTTCAGGTCATATGAGTTTACATAGACCAAACCAGGCAAACTGGATTAAACCGTTTCTGCAGATGTTAGCAGATGAGGCTGTTATGCTAAGCCTACTTGTACTTAACTGGCACAGCTCTGGCAGCTGGCCAAAAACTACATTTTGATGCAGAAAGCTTAAAAAAAAATGTAATAAACATTTTTCTTTTTTTTTTTCCTCATGCAACTAATGAGACAAGAAATAAGTAGAAGGAAAGCACAGGAGTACAGCAAAAAGTTTGAATCCTAGCCTAGGGTCTTTTTGCGTGCAGTTTGCTTGTTCTCCCTGCGCATGTGTGGATTTTCTCCAGGTAGCCCAGCTTCCTCCCACAGTCTAAAAACATGACCCTGTGTTACTGTTTCCTCTAGATTGCCTTTAGGTATGAGTGTGTGTGTGTGTGTGCACGTGCTTGCCACGTTACAACCTCCTACCTCACTATGTTCATTTGAGGATTTCAGCTGACACAAAGTAGTGCATAAATATGAAGTATTTCAACATTTAAAAACAATTCTGAAAAGAGTACTATGTATTTGTATTCAGTCTCCTGTACGCTGACCCATAAATGCAATCCAGTCAAATCAGCTGCCTTTAAAAGTCCATCTGCATGTGATCAAATCTCAGTGTAAATCCATCTGTTCTGTGAAGGCCTCAGAGGTTTGTTCAAGAGCATAAAACAACGAACAAAGCTTAAAAAAAAAACAAAAGATCTTTCCAAGTACTTTTGGTCCAAATCTCTTAGTATATTTGAAATGAGACAAAACTAAGACATCAGAATACAAATACAAATCAACAACACACGGTGGATTTTTATTTAACAATTTTGTAAATTCTTTTGTTTTTTTCCACCTCACAAATATGCACTACTTTGTGTTTGTGTATCACATAAACACTGAAAACATTTGCCAGGCGCTTTAGATGAAAACAAGTTAATGCTGTTTACAGCTGAGTGTTATATTCTGGTTTGAAGATCATGTGTCACTGAAGAGGGACTGAGACATAAAACTACAAATAATCAACCAATTATGAGCTGGAAAAGCAGACAGGAAGAGTGTAGCCTGGTTTATTCTTTACACATTTATGAGCTCACACTCTGTTTCTGCAGTAAACCATTAAGAAAATCTCTTGACATTGAGGCCATAAATAGCTCCTGCATAAATGAGTTTAGTTAATTTTAAGACTTAGTGTATGTACGGGAGGTAGAGCTTGTCGTTTGGTCACTTTCACCAGACAGCAGAGCTTTTTTTTTTTTTTTTTTTTGGCTTCTTTTTTTTGACGGTTGTCCCAGATATCCGACAATGTTTAATCTAGGCCAGCTCCACAGCAGGGCAGCCAAGGGGAAACTAAGGAGCCAAGTTAACTAGTTCATGTCACTCATCAACTTGTTTTAACAGCTGTGGGATGCCTTTAGTGAGACGAAAATAAAGGCAGAAGCTCCCACGAAGCGTTTCCACTTCCAGATACTTTTGACCTGCTTTCGGCTGCACGTTCCCATCCCTGGATAACTCCTACGACTCTAAGCAGCTTACTTCTTCTTCTTCTTTTTTTTCATTTACATTCACTTCTCCATTGCAGTGAAGGGAGAAAAAAAATGGGTGGTGGGGGTTATACTCAGGCTTGGGCTAAACAAAGCAGCTGTTGTCATAAGCTATCAGATTTTAATAAGGCATAACCTAGTCCTGGGTGGGCGAGGGAAGCCGCTGCTTTTCTATTTCCTTTTATAGACTGCACCAACATGCCCCCTGGGAGACTGCACGCTATGACTCATGTCTCCAGTGTTTCTGGTCCAGACTCCAACCCACAACCCCCTCCCCTCCCTGTTTCTATCCCTGAACATCACCGCTTTTCCTCCCCCGATCTCTGTAAGTGGCTCCATGTTTATGCGTTCGCGGTTCGCATTTATCTGCATATCATAATTTCACTCATGAAACCGAAAGTTGGGTCTGATAGCATTAAAAACAAAAAAAAAAAAGGAGAAATACAACAAAAAATGGGGGAGAGACTAATAGGTTTCAATGAGGCGAGGGATATCTGGTGATGAATGCGATAAGCCAGCTGAATCAGTTCCATGTAAACAGTAGCTACAGTACAAGACGACGGCCATTTCCCAGAACTGTTGCGGTGAAACGGCAGCATCAATATGGCTCTCTCTCTCTCTCTCTCTCTCTCTCTCTCTCTCTCTCTTTTCTATCTGTCTGCCTTTCCCAGCACAGCAGCCTGCAGGCTTTTCACCGTCACGTGGTCGGCTTGTCCTTTCCCTTCCCCTTCCTGCCTCTCTGTTTGGTTATATTCCAGTCACGGCACCCCAGCCAGCCCGCCCCGCCCGTCGTTGCTCTGTTAGGTCACCCGCCTTGTTTGCTCAGATGGAACAGAAGAGGAAATGAAAGCTCTGAGTGCACTGTTAACCCATCCCTTACTCGCTGCTCCATTATTGTGTGCATGCCTTCTAATTTTCCCTGGGCTCTTTCATTGTTTTGATGAGGATTTGCTGCTATGGCAGGATGCTGTTTGTCCTTTTGAAGTGTGCTGCCAAAGAATGATACATTAAAAGGTTTGGCATAAAATAAAGCAGCAATTCCAAATAGGATGGAGACAATTTTGTGTCTTGCAAAATTAATTATTACCCATTGAAGGTTTTCACATTTGCCCTTTATGCAACGTAAATGCATTTTAAGTAGATTTTGTGATAGATGATCCCCGAAAGTAGTGCATAATTGTAAAACTGAAGGAAAATTGAACTTTCTTTGCTACTTTTTTCAAGTAAAAAAAAAATTTAAAAGTGTTGCATAGTTAATCACCTTTCTTCAGATTTTCACTTAAATAGTAAAAATAATTTATGTCGCAGTTAAAGGCAAAGAAAACCTCAGTTAACATAATAAATGATAATTTAATCTATTAAGGAAAACAAAATTATTAAAATCAACTTCATTAAAGTTTTATGATAACTGGCACTAAGTCTTTATCATCCCTGTAAAGGAATTTAGGCCTACACTGTGCCATGTTGTTTAAATTCAGCTGGAGGATTCTGCAGCATGAACAGCCTATTTAATGCCGCATCTTAATCAGGTTTAAGTTCACACTTTGACTAGGCCACAATCCTTTTACTCTCACATAATGTTCTTGAGCAAAAGGACAATTTCTCCTTCAGGTTTTTGAAACGGCTTATTTTCCAGAGACTTAAAACATAAACTTATTGACAAACAGCAGTGGAGTGTTTTTTTTAAACTAATTGTTTAGAAGCAAGACTGAAATGGAAGAACAAAAAGGTATGAAAAGTGAACTTTGTATACTATGTCCAACTTTATGCCTGAGGCAGGAAGTGTTGTTTTTTGAAGTCTTGTAGCCTACTTCATTTTGTCAAACATGGTTACATTTAAATGTTTTCTTGACTTTACTTCCCAGGTAGTGATTATGCCTCAGGGTCACCAGTGAAATTTAACTGCATTGTTAGACGGCTTTTCCTGCTCTTGATCTTTTATCGGCATCATCTTTTATTTTATTCCAGTTCTGTCTTGTCAAGATAATTAGATGGTTTTTACAGTCTAAGACAAATGTCTGGCTCTAGACCTTCAAAACTGAAAGAGACTTGCAAACTCTATTGAAGTGAAATATAGATTAAGATGCCTTCAACTCAGAGGAGGGTTATGTAAATATAAATACAAACTTTGTATTTTTCCAGAGAGGTTGTAATGTGAGATAATGTGACAAAATTAATGGGGTATGAAAACTTTTGTAGGGCAATAATGTATGACTTCACCACAAAAGTGCTGCATCAGTGTTGAAATAACAGCTTTCCCCAAACATGTGACAGGCTTTGTGTTTGCACACTATCTAAACAAGGTGTGCATGTGTGGGCGCACATGTTAGCTTTTTGCTCGTGCTTATCCTCAACTTGGCCAATCTCTTGGTTTCTACGCAACGAGGTCAGAACAACACGGACACCACAGTAGCTGAATGGCCATTTTGGGTAAAAGCTCTCCGCAATAATAAACAGCTTCTGGCACGGAGAAGTTGTTTCCCAGCTGCAGCTCGGAGCCAAAGCACAGAATTAACTCCAATACCACTGTGGAAAAACATCGCCCATCCAAACCCACATACCTTCTCAGAGGCTTTGAGCAGCTTGTAATCCTTCAGCGGCAAGAGGACTCTCAGAAACACACCAGCTCATGGCTGCCAGGCGAATTACTGCACAGTTAGTGTGTGGAAAATACAGTTCTCTCTGCTCACCCAACTGGGTGAGGAGAAGCTTTTATTGGGGGGACAGAATAAATATTTCCCTGATTTTCAATCTGCTGCTTTTTTCCTCCGCTTGGCCACAGCTGGTTGCTGTGTTTGCTGGAAGCTCAGAGATGCCTTTACAAGGGAAGATAAGCCTTGAAAGCATAAAACAGCTGCCTTGAATTTTTCCAGTGCTCCATGCTTATTTTGAAGGAGCTCCAAAAATATTTGGAGCGGTTTAAGGGGGGTGGGGAATAATGTGAACTTTATCCTCTCTCAGAGGAAGGGAAGTAAAACAAATATTCCACAATCTGCAAGGTCTGCATACGTGTTGGTTAAACAGTGAAGAAATGCACCAACGTCCTGTGAGTCACTCATTAATTCAAGTCTTTCCTCTTGATTACGCAGTGTCGTTATCTCCAATCAGTCTGCACACATGTGAGGCCGGCTTGTGCAAACTGTCAAGGCTGCAGTTTGTGTAGAGTTGTGACTATAAGAGCTGTACCGTGTTAGCCTTGCACTGACATGTCATCATGCTGGCCTCAGAGACCAAATACATTTAGATTCGTGGAATAAACGGGAACACGGGCCACTTTAAACAAATCACTCACAGAGTCTGTTTTGTAATCGAGTC